TGAGAGCCTGAATTATGTGGAGAGATGTCATACCCCAGTTTGTTGGGGCGAGGATGGTCACAGGGTCATGGGACGGACCGAGGTGGTTCTACAGACCACCGAGAAGATTCAGCAGATCAGACAACGATTACAAACTGCTCGGAGTCGGCAGAAAAGTATGTCGACCGACATCTATCCGAGTTAGATTTCCATGTCAGCAATATGGTATTGCTGAAGGTCTCACCCTGGAAGGGTGTAATCCGCTTAAGGAAGAAGGGAACGTTAGGTCCCCGATATATTGGACCCTTTCGGGTTATAGTTAAGGTTGGCAAGGTGGCACATAGACTAGATCTTCAGAAGGAGCTCAATCAAATTCACAGCACTTCTCACATCTCCCAATTGTGGAAGTGCATTCTAGATGAGGAGGAAGTGGTGTCATTAGATGATATTCAAGTCGATGAGCGCCTAAATTATGTGAAGAGGCCAGTGGCCATTTTGGAAAGGAAAATGAAGGTTCTACGGAACAAGGAGGTACCTTTGGTAAATGTATAATGGGAGCATTGGAAGGGATCTGAGTGGACTTGGGAGCCAGAGGCTAAGATGTCAGAGCATTACCCAGATCTGTTTACTACAGCAGACTTTGAGGACGAAGTCTAGTTCAAGTAGGGGAGAATTATAACATCTCAACTCCCAGGTATTAATGTGAAGCTTTTACATTAATATTTGTAGACCTAGTCGACGAGTTAGTTGTCCCAAATCATTGTGTAAAAACTGATCAGGCCACGTGGTTTATGGAACCAACTCAACGAGTTGGAGGACTCCAACTCGACGAGTTGAGGCTGTGCATGAAAACCATAATTTTCAGGGTTTACACCCTATTTAAAGGACCTTAAGTCCTCCTTCCAGCCTCCCTTATCACTACATCCATAAACAAACCCTAATTGAGCTAACCTCCTATTTTGAGTGTGTGTGAGGCTAAAGAGTGTGTGTTTGGTGCATTTATTGAAGAGGCTTGAAGATTGAGAAGCTTCGAACGAGAAGAAGCTTGTAGATCCAGCATCTACTTCGCTTTGGCATTCATTTGAAGGTAAAAAGTCATTACCTTGATCATTTTCTTGTTAGATCCCTCAACTCAAGAATTTAGTGTCATTTCTAGCTATTTCTTGAGCCATTTCTAGTATTGAGCACGTTTTAAAGTAAGGAGTTCAGATCTGGACTCCTCTAGGACCTTATGGACATAAAGTTCTTGACTTTAGCAAGCTTTGGCCTTTCTTCATGCCCTAAAACTCTTGTTAAGCTTAGTACTAGTGTTTTAATCCCTTTGAGGCCTTGCATGCACATAAAGTTAGAAACTTTACGTGGTATCTTAGCCCTAGGAGGCTAGATCTACACTTCGGAGCCTTGGTTTCTTTTAAAATCGTCTGAATGAGAAAAGGGTTGAATGAACTCAACGAGTTGGATGGGGTTTGCCCGCCTTCTGGATTCTGAGTGAACTCGGCGAGTAGGTGAGATGACTCGGCGAGTTTATTAGGGTTTCCCGATCTTTTGGACATTGAAGAACTCGACGAGTTACTTAGGTAACTCGACGAGTTGACTAGAGTTTTCGGTTTCTATGTGCTGAAGGAACTCGACGAGTCAATAGATGAATTCGACGAGTTTGGTCAACATGGACTGGTGACCTTGACTGTTGACTTTGACTTTGACCAAGTTTGACTTCTGGGGGTATTTTTCTAATTTGGTATTTTAATGGAATCAGTTATATGGTGATTACAAGCAGTTGAGTTTGGGAGCTGTGTGTTGGGATTAGACTTTATCTAGTCAACACTACTTGTGAGGTGAGTTGTCCTCACTATACTAACAGGGTCGAAGGCATCAATATCAGCCCTTTTTGGATTGTTATCTTGGTTATTGCATGATGATATGCTTAGCGACCTGTTAGTTTGGTATCCTGGTATATAGGATGATGCTATGTTAGTGACATGTTAGGTCGGTATCCTAGTATATAGGATGATGATATGTTAGTGACCGGTTAGGTCGGTATTCTGGTATATAGGATGATGTTATGTTAGTGACATGTTAGATTGGTTTGACTGTTTGTGCATGCTAGCTAGTGTATGATATTTATGTGTTGATTGTATATGTGTCGTTGGGTTGAGGCGATCTTACTTTGTGCTGAAGGCCAATAGCCCCAGGGAGGTCCGGATAGAGTGCAGACCTATCGGGGCGTATCAGTCAGGCCAAAGGCCCGGAGAACGATCCAGACAGGCTGAAGGCCTGGAATGGCGGACCAGAGATGCTGAAGGTTTTGAAAGTGGGCCAGATAGACTGAAGCCCCAGTGAGGGCGGTTCGGTCATATTGTAGACTCTATATACATGTTGTTTGCTATGATATGATTATGGTTTGTATGGCATTGGTATTTTGGGGAAACTCACTAAGCTTCGGGCTTACAGTTTTGGATTTTGTTTCAGGTAATTCGGATGATAGCAGGAAGGAGAATGCTTGATCATGCACCTCCTCGCATTTTATGATTTTGATTTCTGGGATACTCTGATATGAAACTATTTTGAAAACAATTTGCAATTAAATGGTGTTTTTGGATGTTTGAAAAAGTTTTTAATTTTCATGAATTTTATGGATGTTATAGGCTAAGTGAGCTTGGCATGGATTGTTGCGTGTATTAGGTTTCCTTGATGGGAAATCATTTTGATTGCCTCTTTGTTAGCAGATTATTGCCTCATGGCCTGTTTTGCTACATAGTTGACAAATAGGTCGTCGTTTACATGGATCTGATTTGCGATGAGAAGAATATGGATTAGAGGTATTTCTAGTAGAACCATTTTGATGTCGAGAGTTGGAGTGGTTTACTATGAGAGCAACGGCAGTGGCATTGGTTTGGGTCACTAAAGCTAGGCGAAGGTGCTCTTGTTCAATTATGGCTTCTTCCTTCAATAAAAGACCTACAAGATCATCAATAGTTAGAGCCTCTGATTTCATCATGAAGGCTGTTATGAAAGCTCCATATGATGAATCTAGTCCATTTAGGATATATGCAATTAAATCCTCATCATTAAGTGGATGAAGATTCTCAGCTAGTAAATCAGAAATTGATCATTTCTTTTTTATGTACTCAAGCATGGTCATAGACCCCTTAGCTAGAGTCTACAATTGAACTTTTAATTGCATCCGAGTTGCCCTATTTTTGGCTTGAAATATCTTTTCAATGGTTTACCTTGCTTCGTGTGAGAATTTGGAGTGAGCCACAAGAGCTGAAGCATTATCAATCATCGTGGATTTGAGCCATAGTAACACAAAATGGTCATGTTTCTTCCATACAACATACTCTAGATTTGGTGTTGTTGTGGCAGCAACGACGACAACAGCGGGAGAGGTGTTGGTGGCTGGGGCCGCTGCAACAACAAGAATCTCAATGATTTGAGATTGAGGGTTAGAGTTTAAGACATAAGCCTCCAAATCGAAGGTTTCTAGTGTTGAAATAATTGTAGTGCGCTAGAGAGAGTAATTTGTACGGTCAAGTTTGATGGTGATCATCGGTATTTGAAAGTTTAGGGTGGAGGCGTTAGTGGTGGTTGCCAATGTGAGTAGCGTTGAAGATGAATTCGCCATTTCAGCTAAATGGAGAAACGAGAAGAGAGAAAATTAATTGATCAAATGAGCTAGTACTCTGATACCATATAGTAAAGTGAATTGAATCATATCTTGATGTACATTATACAGAGTTTAAATACAAGAGGAATAGAACTGGATGTTAGATATTCTCTCCTATTCCTATTCCTATGCTAATGTTATTGACTAAGACTTTATCAAATGTTATGATATACACATTTATTTTACTAATGTTATTAAGGTAAGTTTGTTGCACATTATGATTGCACCGCACCTTCTCTTTTTTTCTTTCCTTTTTAATTATTATTAATATATATATATATATATATATATATATATATATATATAATTTATAAAAATTCATGGTTTGTAATTCCCTATAAATAGAGTATAATATTGATATACTGTTTACATATTTTTAAAATTAAATAAAAATATGATAAGGTAAGATATGACATCAGTTTTGTAAGGTAAAAGAAAAATAAAATAATGATAACGTAGCAATGCAAAAATGGTGTATGACATTCATCACGTGTTTGCTTTCTTGAATCAGACACAAATAAAAACAACAAGACATACACTTTGTAACCCACCGGCACACTAAGGCCATCCATAATGCTCTCTGTGAACAAGGTCGTGGAGAGCTTCCAAATCAGCAACCACGGACCACTCAAACAATCGGGTTACTCTCCACGACCGCTAAAAAAAAAAAAAAAAAAAAAAGTCATGGAAGAATAAGTCTGAGATAGGAGAAGAGAATGATCGGGTGTTCTCCTTCATTCTGCCCACCACAACCGACAACAAAGACGAATTATAACGGTGTATAGGGGTGGTGTGCACGAATTACTCTCGTTGCCACGTCAACCACGAAACCTCTCGTGCTTGGTATGCCGGAGGGTCTAACATGGTCACCAAAAAATTTCAATCAACACCACACAAACATAGGTGACTTGAGAGACATTCAAAATGAGATAAATGAAAAAAATACCCTCGCAAAGTTTAGACATCTACCGGAAAATAATAATAATAATGATAATAATACCACCTATTTTTGACAAACTCAAATATTTTTGTGTGGATATCTATAATTATAAAAAAAAGATTTAGGAAAAGACTTAAAAATCTTTGAGAACGAGATAGCAAGTCACGCGCGTGATACGGTGAGGATAGAACATTCTACAGGCGTCTAGAATATAACACCCGAGCCCGATGACAAATATCAGCCTGATCGAGAACGCTCTAGAACGCAATTCTCCTTCCAGTAGATTATAAACTTGTGGTATAAATAAACATCGATCTGTACCAAATATGTTCACGACATCAGAATTTTACGCATCAAATTCAGTAAAATACTTGCAAATCTCATCATTTTCATTGCGATTAGCGGTAATCGATCATGAACGGCGGCCCGTTTTTCAGAAACTACTCCATTCAAAAACCATCACGATCTGTGCCAGTCCAGCAAACACAACACAGATCATCGCCGAAGGTGGTTTCTGTGCCAGTTCACTTCATTTCATCTGAGCAACCACGAACTACATTATCGATGTTAAAGGATTCGGCGGCGCTTAAGATCCAAAAAGTGGTCAGAGGGTTTATTGTGAGAAAGAGCGTGAAGAAGATCGCTTCAATCAGAAATGAGGTTAGTGAAATCGAACGGAGGATTAACGATATCGAAGTTATTGATTTGATTCGTAGAGATGCAAAGGAGCGGTTGAGGGTGAACGAAACCCTAATGTCTTTGCTTTTCAAATTGGATTCGATTCGTGGTGTTGATTGTGGCGTTAGGCTTTTGAGGAAAGCGGTTACCAGTAAGGCAATCGCCCTGCAGGAGAAGGTGGACTCGATTGCGCTGGCTGATCAACAAAGCCTAGATTCACTTAACGACTCTGGCGAAGTTGATATTGACAACGACTGTAGAAGTAGCTCCGAACAGATCACAGAAACCTCCGGTGACGCTGGCAATTCGCAATCCGTAGAGGATGATGTGGTAAAGGAGATGGTTGAGAATTACAATCCTGTGGAAATTACAGCAGATTTGACTGAAATCGGGGAAGCGGATCATACATCCATTGCAGGTTCAATGGAAGTAGAGAAAGTCCATAAGGAAGGCGACGGAGGAAATGATGATAAGGGGAAGAGGGAGGTCGTGGAGAAGTTGATGGCTGATAATGAGCAGATGATGAAACTCATGATACAGATTTCCGAGAGGAACGAAATGCAGACCCGGATGATCAACTCGTTAAGTCGAAGGGTGGAGCAGTTGGAGGAGGCATTTAGGACTGACAAAGATAAGCTGAGGAGGAAGAAGAAGAAAACACGTGCTGCTTTAAGGAGGCTGGATAAAGATAATTTCTCCATTTGAGTTGGATTTATTGTATGCCAGAATCCATTAATGCTTTCTGGACATGTTAATGTTTATGAAGAATATGTTGTTTTGTAATTTCATTTTTACAAGTTTTTGGTCTTCAAGTAAAGTTTTTATTTCAGTTGGTTGATGTATGTTTTGTTAAGAATAATTTCATTTAGAGGAAAACACATGAGAGCCCGGAACCCGAAGGTTGGATGTTCATCAATCGCGTTAAACCGCTTGCTTGCCAGCCTAACCCATCTAAATATGAGAAAGTTACAACTTTGGTTATTTTTTATTAAGTAGTCAAAAATTAGCCTTTGTCTAAAATAGACAACCAAACAGTACATAATTAAGGAAAAATATGGTTTCTTCAAGAAACCTACTGTTTGGTGTTTAAATGAACTACGGTTTGAGGGCACTTAGCTATTGTTTTTGGAGTCTGTTTGACGGTCTATTAGTACAGAAAATAATATAATATAACGTTGAAATTTTCCATTTAGGTTATTTTTTATTATTTGAAGCTTTCATGTTTTAGTTCTAGTCTTTGATTGCATTGATATAAGTTTAGTGTAGTAGATTATCATTGTATTTATATGAACTTGATTTTCTAGTAGTTTATTGATTTTCTAATGGTTTATGATTATTAAATTGCTAGAGTTAGGGTTGAACAAATCTTAGATTAGGTAATTAAAGGTAGTAACTTTAACTGTGTTAGAGAGCATAATTGATCCATAATTTTTGTTTGGTTGCTTGACTTGATAATGGGAAAGTAACTATTAGATTTGTTGTACATAGTCAAATTCATTTTAATATCGATTTTGTGTTTACTTGTGTTTGATCATAATATAGTAGTCATAAATTTTTAATAACTAGGTATTTGATCATAATAACTAGTTTCATAGTAATTTGGTAACCAATAATTGTTAATAAGAAATCAACCATACGGAAAAGGGGGGGATTCGGATCTAACGCTAGTGCCTTTTTAATATTGAATTTTCTTAATTTAGTTGTTTGATTTAAGTTCTTGTGATCTTGTGAACTTAGTAAAAACCCTATTTTAAGTTTGTTCCTTAGTTTATCTTTTAGTAACTATACTATCAAATAAATTTTGTTTCGTGTGTTCGCCACCTGACTTACCTAAGCTATTTTATAATCCGACTAGGAACACTGCCTATAAATTAGTTAAGTAGTTAGGTTTAAAAACTAAAAGTTGATAGGTATTTTTGCACGCATCACCACACTAATTATTCGAAGGAAATTGTAGTGTTTAGAAGGAAAACATAACACACACACAGTAGCGGAGCTTTAATCTTTCATTTGGATAATTTATTGGTGAATAAGGGCATAGTCAAAATTTTATATTTTTAGGTCTAATATGTAGAAAACTAATATATATAGGGACTATTTCTGCTAAAAATATCATGGGGGAGGGGGGCGGGGCCACAGCCCCTAGCCCCATATAAGATCCTCCCCCCACCCCATGCACACACACGTACACACACACACACACACACACACACACACATATATATATATATATATATATATATATATATATATATATATATATGGGGGATTACTTTATTGAGCTCGACTATTTGCATGCATCACAACCCTTTCCTATTATAACACCTTTGTAAATAAATCATTTTTCTTTAAAAGACTTTTACCAGTTCCTCGGTTTGAGTCCAAACACACCCGAGAGCATGCCCGAATCCCTCAAACCAAGGATCTGATATCAATTTGTAACATCTCAAAAATTCAAGATAAAAATTTCATTAGTAAAATAACCAAAAACCAACATCCATTCATTTCAAATAAAAGATAATCAGAGTATGATAATGTATCATCAAACATCAATGATAATGTAAAACTCAAAAATGTAACATCTCGATCTTGAGGTAATTTTAATTTTTGGCCCTATGTATGGATAAGCATGGTTGTAGAACTCGCTACTCAGTACATGGTCCGTTGACTACCGAGTAACGAGTACTCGGGAGTACTCGGGGAGTACTTGGATTTGGTAGTTCATGTAGAAATATTTGTAGGGAAATTATTTATATCAAAATCATAAATTACAATCATAAGTTGACTGAAATAAATATAACAAATTTAGATACATGTGAATACACAAAAACTATAAACACACAATAGTCTCACTTTGTGAATAATTACTGAAATCATATGTGTGTATGTTAAATAACAAATCATTAAGTATATTATAAATATTAATCGTATATATATATATATATATATATATATATATATATATATATATGTACTAATAATCATATGTGTGTATGTTAAATAACAAATCATTAAGTATATTATAAATATTAATCGTCGAGCTGTTCGAGTTTTACAACACAATTCGCTTTAGTAATGTGCCGATCGGAGAGTACTCAGATTTTATAACTCGCATCGGTAACGGGCCGAGTACGAAGTACTCGGTCGAGTAATCAACCAAGTCGGCGAGTTTTACAACACTGTGGATAAGTATAGCATTTTAGTCCTTAATTTCTAGAAAGAGTGCAAAAAGGCCCATAGTGGCATTTTGGTAATTATGGACAAGCGGTAGTACGCTGAGCGTACAACAGCGGACCCTAGTACACTAGGTGTACACCACATATGCAGGGCATACATAATGAAACCACAAACCCTAATTTTTAAGTTTTGGTCCATATAAAAGCATCATTAACTCTTCATTCCTCATCTCCCTCTAGCCTCCAACCTTCATTTCGTCCTTTGAAACCCTAATCGTTTGTGTGTGATCATTTGAGCTCAAAAGTGTGTGTGTTTGGTGCTTTTGAAGCAAGGTGAACAAAGAAGCATCATCTTAGGAGATTAAGGCCTGCTAGATCTAGGAATACCTCACCTTCAAGGTCCATTTTGAGGTATAAAGTTATGAACTTCATGACTCTATGTATAGATCTAAGTTATCCATGGAGTTTGTGTCATTTTGGTCCTATTATTTGGGTATTTGGAGTATGAGCTACTCTAACCCCTTTAAGTTGTCCTTTCGGTCACTTTGGGGTGTTTAGAAGCATAAAAATGTAGTCTTCATCATATCTTTCCTTCCATGCATGTGTTTTGAGGTCTTAATGGGCTAAGTGGTTGAGGTTTTTGATGTTAAGCCTTTTTAGCCATGCAAGACCATAAAGTTGGAAACTTTATGGTCAAAAACATTATTTGGGACTTGGATCTGCATATGAACATGTTAAGTCGAAGTATTAAGATCAAAATCGATTAAGTTTGAAGCTAATATGTATGTTAGGCGTATCGAAGGGTACACTGCGCGTACACATATCTGGCCCTAACACCTTGAACAGCTTGTACGCCCTGCATACCTCCGGAGTATGCCTTGCGTACGAAGCCTAAGTCGACTCAGCTGAGTTGACTCGGTTGACTTGTTGACTCTGACCAGTTTTGACCAAGGGTATTTTGGGAAAATGTTATTAATCTAGAATGGGTAATGTTTTGACATTTAGGATTTGAGTTAAGCCGGTATTTGAGAGCAAAGTATTGATAAATTATTCGTTGGACTGCGAGATGAGTTTTCCTCATTGTACTTACGGATCGAAAGCACCAAGGTCGGCCCATTGGATTGATATCCCGGTTTACTGTATGTTGTTATGATGTAGTGATATGTTAGTGAAACATCCCAATATTATAGGTAAAAGTTTCATTTTTATTATAATCAAAACATTGTTGTAACTATGTTCTAAACATTGAAAAGCATTTCGGTTAACAAAATTATCAGAGTCTAATCCCAAAGATCACATATTGCAAAAAACATGGGTGTATGCGTTGCAATCGTCCCGAGCACTTCCAATTGAAATTTGTAGTACCTAAAACGTAAACTGAAAACCGTAAGGACAAAGTTTAGTGGGTTCCCCAGATACCACATAACATACCTATCAAACGATCCATACATGTCATACATAACCGTGATCCATACATATCAATCATATACCATAATCAATGAGAGTCATATGTGCCAACCATAGTCTTACCATTACGCCACGAGCCACCTCGTGGTCTTTCTTGCCAAGCCGGGGGCTACAACCCTGGGTCTTATATACAAGTACCAAGAGCCACCTCGGGTCTTATTACAACAAATACACTAAATGGGCCAATATTGGTTCCTTTGACCCATACAACAGTAAGGAGACTCACCTCGAATACTAAAGCCCACTGCAAGATATCCTTAGCTGCTTCCCAAACAACTACTCGAGCAAACAATACCAAAATATCACCCAATTAGAAATTAGGTCCCAAACCATGATCCATAATCCATACTTGGGGTAAAATTACCATTTTACCCCTGGCCCAACAAGATTCATAACTAAGGCCCAAGCCCTAAATCCAACAAGATCTAAAATCACAAAATCCATGAAAGCCCATTAATGGCCTAATTTTCCAAATTGGGCCCAATCACATATAGGCCTTATCCTAGGCCCACATTTTCCATTTCAGATTGCTACAAACACCCCTTCAGATAAACTTGATCAAAGGCATAAGCTAAAAGTCAAATTCAACGGCATGAGTTGACCCAACTTGCCGTGTTTTATCCTTCAACTCGTCGAGTTCCTCTGACAATCGCAAGGTCAGGAAGAAATCGGTCCAACTTACCGAGTTGTCTAATCAACTCACCGAGTTGACCCATACCAACTCAAAATCAGTGAAAACCAAAACAACTCACCAATTTGGCCATCCAACTCATCAAGTTCACCTGGGACCAAACAACTTAACCCATTAAGTTGACATATTCAAAACTAACAGCTTCTCCCACTCCGATCTTAACTAAAATGGCCTAAGAAGGGTAAAGTTTCCAAGTTTATCCCTAAGAACCACCAAAATAGGTTCAAAATGTAACAACCCGTTATTTCAAGTCAGTAAAAATCGAGTCTTGTAACCTCTTTGAGGAAGGAATTAGAATATCATCGAAAAATGAAGTATTCAAAAACTCTATTTGGAGTACACTATGTGGTAGGTATCGTCTTAAGGTTTCC